CCCCCCCCCAAAAAAAAAAAACAGCCGGTCCGGGAACGCCTGAAAAGGAGGCTACGACTACACAGCGTTTTCTGAGCAATGTATGGTTCTAGACACCCTTAGCAAAGCCCACACACGGCTGAAAACACTCCACATGAACTACATGTACTTACCCAGACAAAGCCAACGTGTTCTCAACAACCACGACAAGAAGGAAGACACAGTAAACAGCGTAGGGACCTTCTTTGTTCACTCTTGACATGTTGACAGTAGCGATCTCTGAGTCGTCCCTGAACAAAATCAGTAAAGTAGTGTTCGAGAGGTGGTTGTCGCCAGCGTTAGGGTAAGCGCTGGTCTGTCGTTTTTTTTTACCGTCTGTTACTTCCTCCTGTGGCGCAGTCAAGTCCTGGCCAGAGTGGCGATATGGTTGTCGTTGAGGAAATCTTACACCGCAAGCTATTGTAAGGCTGTGCAACGCGTAACCCGTGGTCAATATGTAGTGAAAGCTCGTTTGTTTACGGTCTTGTGTTGCAGGTTGAACAATGTAACGTAACACTGTGTAACACTGCCACCTGGCGGAAACGCTGTACATATACAGGAGGTTCCTCATCCCCTTTTCTTATGGTGGGGAATACCGCGTCCCGACCTGGCGCGTTGCCAGGGTTTACGTGGGGATAAGGAAAGGAGACAGAATGAATCTATATTCAATGTATTTCCTCCTCTTTCGCGGTCTTTATGTATGGTATATACATTGAATGGTAAATTTATTGCCACTGACCTTAAAATGATTTCTGTGATTTTTAATGGAGCTTCCCAATTGGTACGAGAATAGCAGGTAAATATGCCAAGAACACACTGTCAGATATAATAACGTGTTAAGTACTCTGTTAATGTGCCTTAATATTGTACAGACAGCAAACGCACGGTGTTCAGCACAAACACCTTTAGATAGTTGTTAACGTTAGGCTAATAACACAGGCCGCGACCGTACTTAGAATGACTCATCTGTTACCCAATAGTATGTTAATGTATCTGAATTGTGACCGACATTGTTGATTGTTTATGATTTCTTATTTCCTGTATACTTATGTGAGAGCTAATCACATGTGTTCAATATATGATATAGATTTATGTCATTTATATTAGCAACAATTTCATGCACAATACCACAACTATAACTACAAACATCAACCTATGTAAATTCTATGTAATTTTTTGGCACACATTTAGACAAATAAGCCGATGAAAAGCTGTGTGAAGTGCCTTATGGTCAGTATCCAACCCGGGACCTCTTGGTTCCCAGGCCGACTCTAACTGTCACGCCACAGACGCGAATGCCTTTACAAAATCCAAGTGCAATATTTTAGAGGATATGAAGTACCCGAAATGTCTTAACCATCTACCTATCAAAGTGTATAGACTATTTGCAATATAAAAGGTTTTCCAATGGATTCATTATCCCATCTCCACCAGTCGTTTGTCCATGTTTATAACGAAACTGTTTCCGTGTCCTTAGCCCTTATACTTGCTTCATGCTCCCTTCTCCACTACTTATTCGTCCATACTTGTGATGACGTTGTTCCTGTGTCCTTTGGTTGGAAACATGGCGGCGCATCGTTGGCGCGGTAAGCATCTTCAATCTTGACTTTCGTCGTCTTCTTTATACTACATACAAATGTTCAAACATGTTAGTTATATAAGTTCAACGTTAATCCAACCATATGATATGCTAGAATGGCAGTTTTAATAATTTCTAATTTGTACTATATAAAGTTCAAAAGATATAAAGAGACTATTATCGTTGAATTGTTATTACTTTCTGTCAGTCACACAAGTTGTAGTTTTAATTTGTGCTTTGTTGCAAGTTACCTAACAAAATATTACCGAACATCACGACCTTAGGATGTCGAGAACAGAACCAGAAAATCTGCTGCATTACCAAGAAATGTTGCTAGGATCTCCAATTTCACCACGTCAAGACCTAACCACATACTAATTGTCATCACGATGCACCCATAGTCAAAAAAGTCGGAAACACGAACAAACATGCATACAAACAATCAAACAGAAAGACAACACTTTTATCACCGAAATAGTAAAGCTCTTACACTTACCAGATAATGACAGTAACTGCCAGACCAATCACAGTTAACACAGTCCCAGCTGCAATAACGGGGACTAAGGGAAACTTGGACTCATGGTGGCCTTTTCCTTTTGACCTCCCGCTTGTGTTCGGGAAGAATAACGTGCTAAAGTTGTCCACCGGTGTATCAGTAGGTTTGACGGTTTGAAGAGGAGCACGGGAATTACTTGAGGTCGCTGGGGATGAGGCGTTAATGGATTTAGTAATAGAGGCAGTGACGGAGGCGGTAGGAGATGTGGTAGTGGATTTGGGTAATGCAGTTTTTGGTAAGCGTGAGGTTGTTTGAGAATCGGAGGTGGTGACAGTATTTGAAGCTGAGACTGTAGTAACAGTAGAAGGGGTTGGTGTGTCTGACAGGGCAGTTGTAGCCTCCGTAGTTTTGTTAAACCGTTCAGTTGGGGAACGTGTGTCCGGTTTTGTTGTCATCTTTGGAATTGTAGTCACTAGAGGTGTGAAAAATGGACACAACTGAAATATTCATACCCTGAAATTATGTAAATTAATGAATAAATGGCACAAATTGTTATCTGCTCCATTTTATTTTGACACAATTATTACTAAGGCAACAGCATGTTCATTTTATGGATGACATCCAAATCTAATGCGATAGGGCGATTCCTATGAGATGTGAAAATGTTACTATACATTCAAATCTTGACATTACAAACCTTGTCAAACAAGAAAATGATACCTATATTGTGCTAAGTTTACTATTACAAAATCCTTTTATCACTAAAAAAAAGAAAGACAAAACAATAAATTATAGCATTGTTTTGTGTCCTCTCTTCATATTTATCTGTCCTCCATGTTCCGACATTATTGCCCATTTTCGGCATGTTGGCAACATCTTGCGTTCTGATGTCAACAATAAGAATTACTTGCTGTGGGCTAATCCATTTGGCTGATTTGTTAAGCTTCCTTATCAAAAGTGGTTAAGGTTTGAGATGTGAAAATGTTACTATACATTCAATTTACCTACTTGAGTCTTAGACCTTACGAAAGTCGCTGTACTTTTGTTGTGTCAATAAAGTTCCCATTTACCTTGCTGAGAGAGGTTCGCACAGGACACAGTAATGTCACAGTCGATGTTCGACACGTTGTAGCATAAGTCATGAAGGTACGCTGTGTCGGATAACTTTTGCTGCACTTCCCTGTGGAACGCCTCGTCATCGGGGTCACAGGTCATGTTGACACTAAATTGTAGCTCATGTCTACGATTAACACAATCGATATATCGATTATTATGTTTACCGAAGGAAAACATATTGCTTTTACTACGTTTCTTCTTCTGTTCCAAACACTAACGTCTGACCTGGCTAATGGCCTGAAATTGTTGATGTCTGGTGTTGGGTTACATCATGTTGCAATTTTGGTAGACTCCTGTCTGACCATATATATTAATGTAATGTTACATGTATTTGAGTGAGAAAAGCAAACCATATGCGAAGGTAAACATTATGCATTTGCTTTGCAAATGTTACCTTTCTAGTTGTATTATGGTATTAAACACCATATGTCATTCTTTTTTTTGCAATACATGAATAATCCATATACGTTGACCATTTCAATATAGGGTTAATGACCCGCCCTGAGGTGAATACGGTGTCATAATTTATGGTCGGTTCCTATAATCACCGAATGAACGACCGAATCCACTCCGTGGACTCGGTCATTTATGAGGTGGTTAAAGGACCCGACCATGTATTATGACACCGTATTCACCGAAGGAAAGAGGGTCATTAACTGTAATATCATACAGACATTGTCACATATGCATGTGCATCAAGCAGACACTCCTGTGTAACATATAAATCTTTTAATCTTGCATTAAAGTGAATTCTCATCACAACAAACCAATTATTTAAAGCTGTTCAAAGTTACATGTGCGAACTAAATTGACTGCAGCTGAAGTTTACCACTGAATTTCCTCAACTGATTCTCTACCATTATTGTCCAAATTCATCGCTGCGGTTGCCCCAAACACTGCTTCTACTTCATCTGACGACAACTCGGCGAGTTCGAGGCGAAATTGCGGTCCTTCATCCATTTTATGCTAACAGGAGAACCAACGCGACCCAAATGCCGACTGTTTTGAAAATTTCGATGGTTGTATCAATGTAGAATTGGAGGGTCAAGTAAAGATTAATCTTTATGAATAATGCTTTTTTCCTGAATCTATGCTGATTTTAATTGTATATAGTTTTATCATAACTAAATCCATTTACTACTCTGCATAAACAAGTCTGAGTATGTCAGAAAGGTAGGAGTAGAAGTAGGTTAGGAGAAAACACCACCCTGTCATGTAATGGTAACGTCTATTTTATGGAGTCCCCACTTCCGTTATAGCCTCGGACCTGCAGGTCCGTATATCGGATATTAATGACCTGGGTTATGGAGGAAACGGAGCCCTCTGATTGGTCAACGTCATCTGGCTATATGATAATGCATTTTAATTACCTTTACAGCTGACATCGCCCACCGCTACACCTTGTGCATTAGTCCAGGTTGGTGGAGGGTTGGTCATATCACAGTTGAAGATGTTGTGTCTAGTGTGGAATTTGCCTTCCGTACAGAAAAGGACACACGTCCTCTCTTGGTGACCTTCGTGACAGACAAAGGCTCCAAACACCGGTGGCCTCAGCTGTGGACAAACTGCACGGTGAAAACGTCAGTTGACCTTACTGTTATACGTAAGCGTTTTTTCTAAGGTTCGTCATTTTGTTTTACTGTACTTCGCAAAAGGCATTTACATGAACAGACAATCAGAGCTATGGATATTCCTGCAACGGTCAACAGTCAGACAATGTTGGTCTTTAGATAAGCTGATATTGTCCATAATATACACATACAAAGGGCACCTGTTACTGTAAAACTTTGTTATGGAAAACGCAAATAATATCTTACCTAGGTAAATACAGGCGAATGTGATGTTGCAAAAAGCTGAAGGATTTCCAACCTTGTCCTTGGCTAGGGACGTGACAGTCGCCGATTTACCAGGCGCGATAACGTCGACTGTAGGCTGTGTACAGTGGACTGTGTTGATCCCAACATTGTCCAGGAACCATGAAGTTATCTTTCTGCTGCTGTAGTGATCATAGACATTCACATCGCGACATCTGTCTCCTTCAAGCTGGTGGTAAGAGGAAGGGCAGCTCACTGCACGTGGTGCCGTGTTGTCTGGATAGAATCGTTGGAACAGAAAATAATCGTTTGGACAGCAGAAAACACATTATTCTCCTTGAAGAAATATAGTCGCATATCCGTACAATTTCATTAAAGGATAGAGATCGTATTAGCTAGCTCTATATTAGCTAGCGTTACAAACACTTATAGGGACACTGGGCGAAAAGGCCTCGGA